AAAAGGACATTGGTCTAGAGGAAAATAATCCGAGATATCTAGTCCAAACGTTAGAAATATTATTGGTTCTAATTTTTATCTTCGATAGGAGGCGATAACGGACGACGATTACCAAAAATAATATATTGTCCAGTTTTATAGAGTTTACCATGAATAATATGAACTTATGACCCGTTTCAAAAATTTTCAAATACATCTTCCTTAAAAAATGTTTGTTTCCTTATTCCACAAAGAATGGTTGCCAACCCGAATGCCAAAAATCCCATGAATTATGAAATTAATAATATAATAACCACCAAAGCCACTTTTTCACGCCAAGCTTGACGACATTGGGATCTTTCATCTTACCAATGGTGAAAAGGCAAGGATTACAAAAACATGCCGTGACTGCCAATGAAAATAATACCGAAGGAGTTAAATGTGGTGCTGTCTTTACATGATTTTCTCATCGTCTGTATTATTGTTCTCGTAATATTATAACAATATTGAGAATTAACAAAATCTGTATTCTTACGTTGAATTATTGTACGTCTTGAATCTTTACGATTTAATGACATCAAATATCCTTTTGTATTATTGATTGGAATCTCTGGATAAATGTTTTGAATCAAAATATTCTTTTCAATTGGGTGTTGCGGTATCGTTGTAAGAAACCTTCCTGGTACTCCTTGAAAGGATATTCCACTCGAACGATGAGGTAAGGCGAAATTAGTTCATTATTATAATTAATAATATAATTATGATTATAATAATTGTTATTTTTATTCCCGCTTGGAACGTTATTCTCGATCATATTTGCCAAGTCAAAATGTCCAACGTCGTAAGGATCTGTCTGCATCATGCTCCAACAACAACCGACACATTTCTACACGGTTAGAAATAGCAGCGAGCATTAACGCGATCCGTCAATACATTTAATTTTTTTATTTTAAAGATAAAGAGAAATTAATAAAGATCACAAAAATAAAGACAAAAAAATTGAGATCGCACCTTGTTTAAAATGTGCACACTTGCACCTCGAGCTAGTAACACTTTAGCGGTTCAACGTAGCCTTCATAGGAAGCCAATAATAAAGCGGTTTTACAAAAACTATCTTGAAAATTCACATTGGCTTAACCGTGATCGGTAGGTTCACAACAAACATCAGCATGACCATTATAAGCCGCAATGATAAGAGAGGCTGCATTTTCTCTATTACAACTTTCAACGTTAACATTAGCATTCATCAAGATTTTAACAACTTCAACATTTCCCAACGAAGCAGCTTAATACCGATTCACCGTAGGCCAATGTTAACATTTGGCAATCCAACCAAGTAATTTATAACTTCAGGGCAGTTTCACATGGGTCTTACCCTTAGGTTATTTGGGTTAAACTGCGTTTGATTTAATATGGATATAAATTGTTTGTAATATTGCGTTAAATTTTGGCGGTAATTGATTTAATGGTGCACTTGACGGTGAGGTGGTACTGGTGGTATCGTTGAAGCTGCTGATGAATATGGAGGTTTATAAAAATCATCCATGTTTTCCAAATTAAATGCCACAAAGTCCTTTTTTTTTAAAAAAAAAAAAAATTTCAATCAGGTTGAAGTTTAATTCCTGTTGAAAGTTCTCGGTTCAAAGATGGATACTCTGTATTAAGAAATATGTAAAAATCACAAGTCCATTATATAAATTCGTTAATTTTCGTAATCCTGGTTGACAAGAAAGATAAAGATAAAAAAAAAATAATTAAAAAAAATAAAGGAGAAAAGAGGACAGGGCTAGCAACTTTTAAAAAAAAATCCATAAATTTCCCGATGAAGATTTATGCGTATCTTACCAAAGTTTTTCAAACGGAATAAGATTTCGATATATCAGCATATTTCTATTTTATGCAATAAAATTTAATAAATACTCTCATTTTTAACTTTACCTTTCTTATAAAATAAAATTAATAGAGTTTTCCTTAAAACTTTTCATTTACGTGTCAATAATTTTTAAAAATCAGAGTTTGTAGCAGTAAATAATAACGCGTCAGTCAATGATTTATTTTTAGAAATAATAACGCATCTCTCAATAGTTTATTTAAGAAATCATTAATCATGATGAGTTAAATAATAACGCGTCTCAATAATTTATTTTTAGAAATTTAGTTGTAACAATAAAGAATAACGCGTCTCTAGAATCAGTAACTGATGTAAACAAAAACATTCCACATTACGCGTCTTTGATTTTATTATAAATACTCTCCATCTCACCTCACAAAAAATTTCAACTTTTTTTCCACCTCACCTCACAAAAATTCAACTTTTTCCTTTACCCTTCCTTTATATATTATTTTATTATCCCCGAGTGTAATTTCATCTTTTTTTCTTTACCCTTCTTGATTTTATTATTAATACTCTCCACCTCACCTCACAAAAATTTGTACTTTTTCCTTTACCCTTCCCTTATATATTTTATTATCCCCGAGCATATTTTTTTCTTGATTATTTTTTTATCTTTAGTTTACGACCATTATTTTTTTACAAAAAATCGAAAGAAATTTTTACAAAAAAAACCAAGAGAAAAACCAATAAAAAGTAAGTACTTTTGTATCTTACTTAGTAACATTTTTTTTTTAATTTCGACGAAGCGAGTTTTTGTGTATATATACAGAACGCTATGTATTGTTTTCTTCTCTTAAAGAGATAAAAACTTTCTTCTCTTCGAGAGATAAAAATATTTTTCTTTCCTTGCGAGAGAAAAACCTGCGTTTAACCGTTTCTGGTCCCAGTTCAGTCATCATGCGTCTCTCCTAACAGTGTAGATCTTTTGGCGTTTATCTAGGGAAACCATGTTTTTTTTTTTTTTTTTAAACAGGAACATTTAAAAATGTATAAATTTTATCTCGTAAATCTAACTTGATTATTTTTTTTTTTTTATCTTTAGTTTATTAGGAACGAGATCAAAATCGATAAAAACCATTATTTATTATTTTTAGTTTATTACATTTGTTAATGCAAAAGAAATTTTCTTTTAAAATTCGTAATAAAAATGAATCAAACAAATATATCAATAAAATGTAATTTATATATCTATTAAAGAGAGAAATTTCAATAATAATAAAATTTCTAATAAAATGTTTATAATTTTTGAATTTTTTAATGCAAAAAAAAAAAAAAAAAAAAAAAGTCTAGTCGATTAATCATAAAAAAAAATAAAAATTTAAGATTTCTCACTCGAAAAGAAAGTATTTAAAAAGGAGAATTCTTTTTTTTTCTTGTTCCTTTTTTATTTTTTTAACACTTATTGACGCTATTTTATAAGTCATCGTCGAAATTAATGTCAATAAATAAATGCTTGGCCCTATTTTATATCTGAACTTAACAATATTTATTTTTTTGTTTTCTCGATTTATTAAAATGCTTCTTTGTTAGCTTCTTCAAAATAAGTCAAGTAAAAAAAAAAAAATATCCATCAAACAAAATTTTTAAAGATCTCGATAAATACAACGTAAGGTAAAAAAAAAAATGAATCCCACAAAAAGGTGTCGTGCATTGAAATTTATTACTCAAAAATAACTGATATATTTTTGTGATTAATAAGTAGAAATTTTAAAATTGTTCATATCGTCCGGAATTTTCTCCCATAATTTCTGTCAGCGCCTCATTCAAACCGCGATAACGTATCAAGCGAGATATTTTCTTCTGGTTTATTATGGCTCGGGTGAAGTAAGAAAAGAAATCTTACGTCACACAAAAATCATCTCGGCACGAATTTATTTCGGGTTGCGATAAAACTAAGAACAATCGCCTGAATTGACATGCATCTTTTTTTATTTTCCGACGCACCCCCAACACTGCATACACATGTTAAAAAGACATTTGCGAAAACCTTTATTAAAAATTTTCAATAAACGCTAAAATCATACCAAATCAACCTTAATTTGAAAGACCCACAGTATTAATGCATATATTATGAAAGCATGTGCAAAAATAACGAATAAAAATCCTTTCATTTATCATTTCCTTGACCAGTACATAGGAGTTTTGAAGGATGGAAGTTCTTTTTATTATCATGATCACAAAATGCAGTAACTTGAGCTTGTATTATCTGCGCAATATATTTTACCATTTCTTTTTCATTTTCTAAGTTACCAGTAAAATTTGCAAGTATATTCTTCGGAAATATGAACAACCGGTTCATCTAATGATCCAGTCCAGCGGATAAATCGCCATAATTTTCCAGTTGTAACTATCCCATACATTGTTGGTTCTGCTTGGCCGGAATTCAATAGTCGTTCCATTGCACTGTGCACTTGTACAATATTTTGCGCCATTCCTTGTTTCATGTCTTCCAATTTTGTTTCACGTAACACCAAAAAAACTTCAATCCTTTTTACAACATAGTCAGTGGGTCCATACCCACGACTTCCCTTCAGCTCTTTTTCAAAACCTAACCGTACTGAGCCGTTTACGAAATCTTGTATATGGGAAACTGCAGCTGACAAGAAAGTATCAATAATGTAACGAGCTGACGACTCATTGTCAAGTTCTTTCTGGATATTCTTAAGATGACCTTTAAGCTCCCCAAAGAATTTATTGACCTCTTCCTGAGAGAATGGATGCCTTAACGGAGGAAGTTCATCAAGATTAAATCTTGGCATATCACCCAGGGATTCATAATCCGGTCGTCCTAATATATCCTTAAACACATCTTTGATATTCCAATCACTATACTTTTTTCTGTCCTTGATTTTAACAGTTAACTTTCTTGTGTTGTTTGAAATATTACAGTATTAAAGTTATATACATCCCAAATATCCATTCCGTTATTTACAAAGTATATTTCTTCTCCCTCCAATTCTGTGAAAATTTCTCTAGTGAGAGCTTTCAAAAGGATAAATGAACCACTAGTATGTGATATTTCGCGTTTGGTTCGTCTTTGTCCGTACACGAGTGTCACCTTAACTGCATTTGAAGGAAACTAATAAGTATTTGCTTGAAATGGAAAAACAAAGCCAAGAAAATAAACCTCACTTACTGCATACATCTGAAAGAGGATAGCGAACAACGAGCGAGTTCTTGGCCGTTGCTGTCTTAGTTAGAGTTTGGAGGTCTGTATCTGGTGGAAGTTGCGTGTTATTATTTAAGATTACGATATATTGCAGTCTAACAGCTCTTAACTCTTCGTATTCCTCTTGAAGAATATATACAAAATCGTCCAAGTCATAAGCTTTAGATATATCAGCATTCAACTTCCTAACTCTCGGTGAACCTTCAAGAAGGACCCACATTTTTACTATGACGCTTGAGGAACTTAGACAAGAACTCGGACGTTTGTTTTGGGAACCTATAAATTCATACTCGGTTTTATCTTCGTTGGACATATTTTTTAATACAAATTTAGTTAGGATGTTTTGATGCAATAAAAAAAATGAGTAATCAGAGAATAGAAATAAATCTTATATTTACTGTGCGGCGAATCTAATCGTTACGATCATCACAAAACAGGATCAACAATGGTAATCTTAATGTCCAATAAGGATCAAAAAATATTATGCACGATCCCAGATATAACCTGACCATTTTAGCCTTTTTTTTTTTTTTTTTGATAAATATATATGATTTTTTGAAGAATAACATTTTATTTATATTAAAATTTTTAACTAATTATGGTTAAAATAAGAGCTAATAGTAATGTTTTTGATTAAGAAAAATTACGAGGTCTAGTATGAGAAATATTTTCTAATCTTTGATATTCTAGAATTACATTTTAATCAGTTTTGAAGGCTGATGCATTAAGATGAGATATTTGTATATCATTCTAGGTAGGATATCTGCTAAGTGTGATGTATGCTTGACCTGAGAAAATATGTTTTCATTTAAAGTAATGCATGTATTTGGTAGGGTTAGTCCTTGGGTGAACAGTAAGTGTAAAGCAATTTTGTAAGAAGAATTATATACAGTGACAATTATTTCCATAAGTTTTAAAATAATGAGTTTATTTATAAATATCTATATCAATGATAGATCCTTTTATGAAAAAAACAACTTATATGCATTTATCAGGAGGGTTTGTATCAATAATTACATCTATTGTACTATTACATATATCATGATTAATAAGAGAATGTTGAGAAATATAACATATATGGCTGATTATAAAAGAAAAAATGGTAGTAAATTTGTTTTTTATTTGAATGTTTGATTTGTTTGTAAAGAAATCCTTTATTCAGTATTTATAAAATTATGGCTTATGAAATCAAGAATTTATCTTCTTAGACGAGAAAAAAGTTACATATTTATATAATTAAAAATTTTTATTTTCCTATTACATTTAGTTTACCCTATATAAATAATAATGATTAAATTGTGTAATATTATATAAATTTTCAAAAAAGAAATTTTGTCTTTTAGTAAAACTTAAGAATAAGTCTCAAAATCAGTTATACAGATTTCCTTTTTGATAATTTGTATATTTGTATAATATCATATAATTTATTGTTATTATAAAATAACAGACCAGTAATTAGTTATTCTATTAATTAAATTAGCATTTTCTTTGAAGTGTACAATATGAGTAGTATTTAGTAATATATTAAAAGATACTTGAAGCAAGAATTATAAGTGATGCTATTGAAATTTATTTTACATTTCTTATGTAAGATTATCTATATATATATAGAAAATTTGTTAGGAAAATTGGATTCTGGCAAATTTTTTGATTAAAATTAAGATTTTATTACATTTTAATCTAATATCATTAAAAACTAAAATGTAATAAAAAATAAAATTTTATTAAAAAATTTACAAAACCATATTTCTCTAATAAATCTTTCATATAATAAATATTTTATCACTATTTTGATATTATAAGATTTTAAAAATAATAGATAAAATAGTTTTCAGACTGAAACATAAAATACAGATTGATTAATGATTAGAAGTAATTAAGTAAAGTCTCCTATTATTATAACTAAAGATGATACTAAAATTAGTTACAATTATATGATACTTATTTATTATCAGTTGTAACTAATTGCAATTAAATTTTATTGTTACAATTAGTTACAAACTTATAATGCTTTTATTTCTTAGACTTATTGTATTAATCAACTAATCAATCACAAGAAAAATAGTATTTTTGAGATTTTTTTTCAGGAGCTTATTTATCACTAGTTGCAACTAGTTACAACGTCATTTTTAGTTATAACATTTATTTTACTAAATATTAAGGTATTATTATAAAGATTAGCAGATATATTTAAAATGGAGTTAAGTAGTTCAGCAAAAATTATAGAGTTTATTTAATAATTATAGTTTTACTTTTATTAAAGAAGATATTAATTCTTTATCTATATAAATATGAGTATTATTAATAGAAAAAATTGTAACTCTAAATATCAAGTAAAATTTATTGATTAATAATGATTTCACATTAGATAATTTTTCTATTATATCAAATAGTGATTAATAATATTTTTATTTCTTTTATATTTTCTGTATAGCTTATCTATTTTATTTATTATATTTTACTTATAATTCTTTTAATATCTATAATTTATTTTATTTATTTTTATTTTTATAGTTTATTTTATTTTTATTATTTTATTATATTTAAGTATATTTTTATTAAAATATATATCTATATTTAGTTAATTTATAATATAACAAGTAGTTGGTTATAGTAAGGGGAGGGTTAGAAATGATGTCATTTGATTTTTGAAAGCTTTTTCCTCCTTCCCTTTCCCTGTCATAATATCCAATTAAAGAATTGTGTAATTTTATTTATCACGTAACAATAATTTTAAACTTTGGGAAATTTATGAATTTATAGTTATTTTATTGTTATAAAATTTTATTATACATTGTGCAAATTAATTCGAAATGTAAGATGGTCTTGATCCTAAGGTTGTACTTTATCTTTTTTACGTTTACCACTACTTGTTTATTGTTTGGAGGTTTGTGTGGCTGAGATTTTATCTCTATGGTTAGAAGATTGGTCCACATATGATTCTTTATAATTTGTCACTGCATTATGATTTCTTACCATAGATTAATCATCATTTTCTCGTGTTACTTTTTTTCTATTTGAATGTATAGTCTTACTATGCATCTTCATAAATGCCTTTGTTGGAAAATATTTTTCACAATTTTGACATACAAGTTCATGATACAGTTTGAATGAAATACTTAGGCAATACTCATTATAGCCAGGAAGCTGATCACTAAAATATTCCAATGTGTGCAATAGATTAAGAAAATGCTTATTTTGTTCTTGAATAACAGGAGGAAGATATATTATTTAGTGATAAAAGCTCAAAAGCATTAAAAGCTTGCAGTGGTTTATAACAATTCTGATCCTTGCACTTTATAAATCAAGAAAATATTTACAGATTTGTGAATGGCGATCAATCTAATTCCACGTTTCTTCTTTGATATCCAAAAATATAGTATGATCATACCTTTCAATGTATGTAGCAACAACTAGTTGCCTATTGATAAGATCATGATTTCATAATTCGCAAAAATGTTCATCAGCATATTTAAAATTTTTACGTCTGAATTCTTCATCAACTACAGAAATTTGTCTATTTATACTGCTAAGATGCTTTTCATAATTAAAAGGATTCAATATAATGCCTGCTAATTTGCTGAATAATGATGATATGCTTCTTTCTACTGAGTTATACGCTGATTACCCTAGTGCATGTGTTCATACTGTAAGGTAGTCCAAATTGAATTTCTTAAAAATAAGCATATATTTCTAAATATTAACGAGGAACTGAGGATTTTCATCAGATCCTCTGTCTGTCAATAAATACCAAATAAGTTTTACTGAACCTTCATAATGTGTAAATTCATTATAAGCCTCCTTCTCTACAATTGTTATAAGATCAATCATATTTTGAATAATAATATTTTATAAATACTTAAACTTTCATTAAAGAATCTAAATATAAGTCTTAGTTTATATAATGTAATTTTTTTAATATGTGAGAAATAATCTCTAAACAAATTGATATTTAAAAAAATTTTTAGATCTTTTGAATAATTTAAGATTTACTTTATTCATATAATATTTTCATAAAAATTATATATTAAACTAACTAAGATCATAATAGAATGCAAACATAAAATTGCTTCTCTAATTATCATAAAATATTGAAGGAAATAAATTACTATATCTTTTCTCAACCTTATTTTCTAAATTAATTTTAATATCATTCTTAAAGTTAAATGTATTAAATCAAATTAGCTATTTTTTTTAAAGCTTTTTTATTTATATTATTACAAATTTCTAAATCAAAAATTTTAAATTAAAACATAAATAAAAAATTTCTTTAAAAGTTAAATTTGTAATTCATAATAGCTAATATTAAGATATAAGAGTTTTGTATAGGAATAAATAATATTATAAATTGATCTTTTAGTAACAAAATAGTTTTATTTAAGATATTTATATAATTGTTTCTTTATTTGCATTTTTAATTATCAATTTACTACTATAATTTCATAATATTATGATCTATTTTACTTTTTTCAAAAAATTTTAATATTTTAAATTTATTAATAAATAGTATTACTAATGAATATTATTTATTAGAATTAATAAATAAATGTACGAATGAATAATATTTATTTATTATCTAACTTTTCAATATAGTACAGCATATATAAATATGCATTTACCAATTATTATTTATTACTTTTATTTTGAAAAACATAAAAAGTATCATAAAAATATAAAATTGAAATATATTTTATAAAAAAATTTGATATATTTTCTATAATGATTTAAATTAGTAGTAAATTTAAACATTATTTAAGTAAGTATTTTGTTATTTTAGAAGAGAAAATAAACAATTATAATAAAATAGCAGTTTGCAAGTATTGTATTAAATATTTTGATTATCATTATACACTTTTAATTAGTAAGGTTACAAATATTGTGAATTTTTATTTAAAACACCTTTGTAAATGCAAATAAATATTCATCTAATAAAATTAAACAATTTTTGTATTTATAGTCATATTAAAAAAAATGAAAATTTAAGAAACAAATTCAAATAATATTAAAAGATTCATATAATAAAGATAGTGATTCAGTTTAATCATTTACAATAATTTTTAGTATCAATAATAATTTAAATATAATATAATGATTTAGTAGTAAAAATCAATATATTTTATATATTACTATTTTATATGATAATATCAAATGGTTAAATATTTAAATGAATTAAAAATCTAAAAACTAAAGCTTTATTTTCATAGTTTAGCAAAGCTATTCAATTACCAAATTGACAAGTATTATCAAGTCAAATTTTAAAAATACTACAAAAGAAGTTATATAAGTATAAATAATAGTAGTATAAGAAGATTT